AAAATATGAGAAAAGGAAAAAAATGGAAACAAAATCTTTGCAAATAGGGAAGGGTGGAGGGGGTGAAGGGAGGGCAGGGGAAAGGGAAACAAATAAGAACCAAGATACTCATGTAATGGTACAGTTTCCCAATGATGTATGTAAATGTATTTTATACCTAAAATGTACCAATAAACTTAATGGGAAAAAAAAAACGTGTTATGATTCTACTAGAGTTCAAGAGATAATTTTACCCTGGGGTGGAGTCAATACTTTCGGAAAGGAATATACATACAAGTGATTATATTCTTCTGAGCCAGAAGGCAGCACAGTGAGGTCAAGGAAAGGGCTATGGCTCTGCACTGCTGACTCTAGGCCTCCATTGCCAGTGTTCCTCAGGTCTCTGCTTTCCCACCTCTTGAGTCACCCTTGTGTTCATATGACCCTTGGGAGAAGAGAAAGATGGGCTTGTAATCCAAAGCCAGGAGGCAGGTCTTCCCTGGATATGTTGTAACTTCAAAGAACATCCTTCTGCCAAGCCTGAGCTGGCTAATACATAGCCTTTTCCTTCCCCAAGTTAGCCATCACCTGTTCCAGGGAATTTAAGGGAAACTGCTTGTATTTCAGGAAGCATGCACACCACATGTTTTGAAGCATTTACAGTTTTGTGTAAGTTATTTTCAAAATCATTCTGTTAATCTTTACACCTGTCAGTTCTTTTTCTGTTAATGCATTCTCAAATTTAGAAATAGAAATTCCACGTCAAGTTGCAAGTTTTGGTTTTGGAAAGCACAGGTCCTCTCTAAAGCATCATAGGATTGGCAGATTGGGCTCCAAGTTCAGGTGACTCCCTCCTGGTGGCCACCCTGCAGTCTGGTAGTAAAGAGGAAGTACTCAGCAGTGCAGGGGTATGGCTGTCACCTCCTCCAGAGGCCTGAACAGGGACAGGGGTGAAACTCCCAATGGGGCTGGCTCTAGAAGCCTGGATCTGTGGAGGCCTGTGAGCCTGTTGCACAGGCAGCGAGCCTCTGGTGCT